TCAATATGAAATTTCATAGCCGTCTAATACCTGTAGGCTATCCATAACTTGTTTTTGAAGCTGCTTATTCCATTATATCCTTTCTTCATGTGATTTTTTTTGGGGGCAAGGCAATTGGGGTTAAGTGACTTGCTGAGGGTCACACAGCTAGTAAATATCAAGGGTCTGGTCTGAGACTAGATATGAACTTAGGACCTCCTGACTCCAGGGCTGATGCTCTATCCACCATGCCACCTAGCTGCCCCCATTGTATCCTTTTTTCACAAGCCACTTGGGCTTAGTGACTGACTGGATACACCAAAGATGGCTTGCATACTCATGTCTTCCCTTATCACTGTCCCTTTCTCCCATCCCCTTTTTTCCTCTGGGTTGGGAGACACAGAAGGATGGGCCAGTATTTTTAGAGGTGGCCTGCCTCTCTTTCAGAGAAACTGACCAAGGAGGCCTAAACTCTTTGCCATATGGCTGTAAAGTGAATACTGCCTATATGCTCTAGATGTCTTGGAATCTTGAAGCCTTCTAGTAATTCTCTGAGCAGGAGCCTCCCTGGACCTGGCTTCCTCAATAGTATCCTCCATTACAGTGATCTTGGAGTATCCCAGGGTCTCTGACTTGCTACCACTGTGCCTTGAATCACTAGGCAATCTCTCCCCTAGGTCTTTCCCTGGGATTCCCTCTTGCTATCTTTCCTCTACTGCCAGAATTGCTAGTAATGAGTATATGTTATGTATAGCCTCCCTTCCCCATATCAGACCAAAGCAAGGACTTTGGATGGTGGTACAGTACCTGGGAGCACACATGTCTTATACCCTCCTCCTGTGTATGAATATGTACATGTGGTTTACCTATCCTTCAAAACCCCCTACTGTTGTTAAATTAAGATGGGTGTGGCTTTGTTTCTGTTCTTTGAAATCTATCTAATGTAGCTGTCTCTTAAATACTTTTCAGTTTAAATGTTCTATTTTTCTTATGTTCTGTATTCTAAGGACATTTTGAGCTTTTACATTCTATGTTCTCACATTCTGTGGTCCTTCCCACAGCCTTAATAATTTCTATGTTCTGAGATTTCTTCCACTTCTGACATTCTATGATCTGAGGTTTTTTCCAGCTGTGTAGCATTCCATTTTCTCACATTCTCTGTGTGTTTTCACATTCTATATTCTTGGATCCTTTCTAGCTCTGACATTCTCTTTGAAGGTTTCTTCAGGCTTTGGTATTCCATATTCTCCCAGTATATGATTTAAGGTTCCTTCCTGCTCTAATGTTCTAAAAAAGTTAAGAGGGATGTAGCAATGTAGAATATGGACAAGAGCCTGAAAAATCTAGATTGCGGATCATTTTTTCAGGCCCCTGATATTTTAGACACACATACAAGAAAGGGCAAATATAATTTTCTTAAAAGAAAAAAAAACCAAAGCTTTCTTTTTTCTTATGAAGAAAAAGAAGCAGTCTGTTCTCATTTTCTATTTCTTGCGTATCCAGGAGACATGATTATAAATAGGATAGAAAAGGAACTCGAAACTTCTCTCAGCTTTAGCTGTTCAGAATGTGCTATTGGTATATGTTAGTCAGGAAACAGAGACATTCTGAATGCAATATGGAAATAAATGAATGGTTGTATCAAAGACCCCTTAAAATGTAGTGAACTAATAGTATCTAGGGAAAATATTGTGATCCAGGGAGCTATGGGGAAGGAGGTATAAGATTATTTTTCTTAGCCATGGAAACTTAACTAAGAAGGATTGGAGTTTTACCTCAGGGCACTGCAACTTAAAGGAAATTGGTAACTCTTATACTCCTTCAGCAACTGAGCTCAGCACCTCATTAGCAAGAATAACTAGTTAAAATAAGAAACTACCAGATAGTTCTTCTTTGGCCCACCCCATCCCACCCTACTCCCCACCTCCCTAATTCTGGCCTTGCACCATCTTCTGATGTTCCAGGATCTCTACCTTCTATCCACAGAGCAATATCCAGGTTCTTCCTGACCCTCCTCCTTTCCCCAGTAGAACTTTAAAAGCTGATGTGAGGTTATGTTTTATGTGGATTTCCCTGTGTACCAAAATCTTCAATTATGACTTTGCTTGAACAAAAAGAGTTGTATTCAGGACAGTATATTTGGTGTAATGACCATTATATACAGTGGACCTCTGCCAATGGTTGGGCAACCCATGATTACCTTATGATGATATAGATTTGATTATGTCCAAGGAACATGTGTATGTGTTGGGGGTAGGAGGATTAGCTTTGGGTAATTGAGTTCTAGGTTCCATCTTCTTTTCATCCTTTTAACCAGGATAAAAGGGTCAAATTATGTGTCCTGAAAAAGTTCTACACTACAAAAGTCTCATATAGTGATCTCACCTTTCAAATGAATGTTTGTCTTATGACCCAACAGCAGGGTCATAATAGGGTGGATATTAATGGCATATATGGTGAACTCTTAGTGGTCAGGCAGGTCAGGGACAAGAATCACGCTGGCAGGTAGGATCCATAGAGAATCCTTAAATCTCACATTAATCACTATATTCCACTGCCTTTCAGTCTTATAGCAAAGTAATTAAGAAGCAAGACACATTTTTCCTTCTCTTGGCTCATGGTTCAATACAAACACCAACAATTGGTGAAATGAATGAGATGATGGAAAGGATACTTGTGTATGGCCCTGAAGGCTATCACAAGGTTTACTGTAAATAGGTAATATTATACCAGTGAATATAAACTATTAACTTGAGTAGCAGGTTTGATTGGGACACATCATCAACCATATGAAATAGTGACCTCAAGCTGTGTGACCATGGGCATGTCATTTTTCTCTCTCTGGGCTGTGGTCTTCTCTTCCATAAAATGAGGGGAAGGGGCTGCATAATTTTTAAGGTTATTTCCTAGCCTTTCCTTTTCTGGTCTCCATGCAAATTAATCTAAATAGTTTATTTAGATAGTACAGATTAGATTCATTCAACCTTCATTCAACAAACATTTATAAAATGCCTATGTACAAAGCACAGTGTTAAGTATGGAGGGAGGTACAAAAGGGAATAAGACACAGTCCCTGCCCTCATGGTGCTTACAATATAGTAGGTCTTCCATGGAGACAACATTCATTGAAATTTCAGAGGTGGTGGGAAGGTCCACTTGCTCTCACCAAATGTTCTGTTGAGTCTAGTGCTGCTAGAGTTTTGTATCCTTGGCTGAAAGCTTTGATCCTTGTTGAAATGTTACTCTGGGTGAGGCGGGGCATTGGAGAAGACTCAGTTGTTGTCAGTCATGGATCTCCTCTATGGGTCTGAAGTACCTGAGGGACTACCTTGATAGGGCAGCATGTATAAGGATACCAGGGTCAGAAGAGGAGAGGGAAATGTTCAGAATTGGAGGGGAATATCACAACATGGAAAGGCTGAGATCCAGATGGATAGACTTTGTGGCCTTATGCTTTCCTCACAGTAAGTCTCTGATTTTTTTTTTTTCATATATACGTAGCTGCCCACATCAAACCCAGTGGACCCACTGGAATTCTCTGAGCTGAAGTTGAACTCCTAATAAGTTATTCACAGGGAAGAAAGATATGTAGTTGGGCTACTTTGGTTTCTGGCAACAGTGACTCCAGGCTGTACTCTGGAGTACTTTCCTCCTCTCCAATCTCCCTTTTCAGTCTCCTTTTATATGTTGGTTTTTTTTTCATTGGAAAGTAAGCTCATGGAGGGCAGGGACTGTCTTTCAAGTTGTATTTGTATTCCTAGTACATAGCACAGTGCCTGGTCCATTTTTGTGGTTTACTCATTTCAGTCGTGTCCAATTTCATAACCCCATTTGGGCTTTTCTTGGCAAAGAGATGGGAGTGGTTTGCCATTGCCTTCTCTAGCTCATTTTACAGATGAGGAACTAAAGCAAACAAAGTCTACTGACTTTCCCAGGATCACACAGTTAATAAATGTCTGAGTCCTGATTTGAACACAGGGTTTCCTGACTCCTGCTCTGGAGCTTTATGCACTAAGCCACCTAACTCCCACTTAACACATAGTAAGTACTTAAATGTTTACTAATTGATTGATTGATTGTGCCCTCTGGGCCAAATAGAACAAACCTAATCCTTCTTGCACTGGACAACCTTTCAAATACTTGAAAATAGCTATTATAGCCCTCCTGTGTCAGCTTTTCTCCAAGTTAAACATCCTAAGTTCTTTCAACTGATTCTTATATGGCAGATGGATGATTTAGTTATCGTAGCTGCTCTTCTTTGGACAGTTTCACCCATATCAATATCCTTACTAAATGGTGGCACTCCAAACTGAACACAATTCAGATGCAGTCTGGCTATAGTAGTATACAGCAAACCTATCCTCTCCTTATTCCTAGTAGCTATGCAGCCCTAGATCACATTAATTTCTTTGCCTGCCAGTTACATTATTGACTCAAACTGAGCATATAGCAGGCCACTAAAACCTTTATTAGACAAACTTTCTGTAATCATGCCTTCTTCATATTACACTTCGGGGGTTAATTTTTGGAAAACTCAAAGAAATACTTTACATATTCAGACAAACATTCACTAATTCTATTATTAATTTTAATTAATTAAATTATTAATTAAAATTCTATTTGTCACAAGATTCATGAAAATTCTGGGAGTTTGAATCAGGTTACCCAAACTTTCCTCTTGACTTTAACACTTAGTAGCCATATGACTTTTGGCAAATTAATTATATTTCTCTGGACCTTGGCTTTCCCTTCTGTTGTAAGGATCAAATGAAATGTATGTGAAAATGCTTAATAACCATGAAGTGAGATGAGTGAGGATAGTGATTATGAAATTATGATTTTCCCAAATGTGTTTAGATATTTAGATTGTTGTTTAACAGAGAAGCTGGATTGGAGTGAAAGACAGGGAGACAGAGTGATTAAATGGTCAAGGGTGAGGAGGCTGCTGAACACTGAAACCAAAAGCCCAAGGAAAGTCATGAGAGTCTCTGAAGTTCTGATGAAAATCAATGGAAGGGAGATTTTGATTTACCAGACTTTAATTTGTGTACAACAAGGCAGGAATATAGCTACTGCATGAAGCCACTTCCCCTTGGGTTATCTGTTTAAGCATGTACTTTTGCCCAGATGTCTAGATGGCTACAGGTAGAGTTGTTGCACTGAGGCATTTGTTTTTTGCAACCTCTCTTGCCCCACCGGTGAAGTTTATTGTAGTCATTTAGGACATTTTCTTCTATTATCTTCAGGATCACAACAATGGACCATTAGTCTTGCCAAGAATTAACGTTCCCCCTCTGCCCTTTCCAACATAGTTACCTAGCCTCTCATCTAATTATTTTCGTGGGAAGCACTTGCAAAAATTGGGATCAACATAGATACTAAGGGAGGTCAGGGTCCAAGCCATATATACAGTTATTTCTCTTCCATTCAAAAAGAAAGACTCCAGGCATCTTTAACAGAAGCCATTTGCTACCTTTATCACTATCATGCGATATAGTCATTATCACCAGCTAACATTCATTGAATGTATGGCACTGCATGTTTTGAGGCAGCAGGAGGCTAATGCTTGCATGTGCTTGATATGGGTTGTTCTTAATTGGAATAAAATAGGCCTTAGTTAATAGTTTGCTAAGCATCCCATCTAATTAGTCTTGCTTTGAATAATCTCTTGTTTTTAAACACATTCCCCCATAGTTCTATCTTAGCACTGGAGTGGCTTGATGTAGGGAGTTCTCCCTAATGTGTGTTTCAGACCTTGTGATTCCCTGCCCAGTCCAGCCATTTACTGTAATATTCTGGGCATTATTACCAAGTCAGAATGTAGGTAGAGGTAGCCCAGTCTTTCTTTCTTGATCAATCTTTCACTTATTTGGAATTTTAGGTGTGGATTCTTGGGGAGTGTGCTGCTGTGTGACTGAAATTCCTTTTGTCTCCTGAATGACAGTTCCACCAAAAGCCACTCTTGTTATCAAAGAACGAGTAATGAATGAAAGTGGGAGAGGCATATGTTTCTCACTGTTTGGGATTTTAATCTAATGACAAAGGTCTCCAGTGAAAAGGCTTCTTTTTTCCACATTAGTCTATGAAAAGCTATATATGATGTGTGGTATTGGTGTAGGGTTTCTCTCCAAGGGCCAAATGAGGTTGCTCAGTTAGAATTGCTATACTTGAAGGCTGCCAACACGCTTTCAAGAGGAAAGGTATTTGTATCCACATATTGGAATTCTTTGACCTTGATGGACACAGTATTGTTGACATTCAGATTCTCCAGAAAGAACTGGGAGAGGTTCCTATAGATGTTCTTTGTTCCTGTTTTTGATTCACATGCAGTAACCAGAGTTTGCTTCTTTGCTTTGTTATTGATGAGAAGTTCCAACTTCAGGTCAATAGGATTGTCTGGGCAATTTGGCACAACAAATTGCAACTGGCAATAGATGATGTACCAGCCTGGAGATTGGATGATAAGATTTCCATCATGATATCCAATGCCATTGAGGGTGCCATCTTTGTTCCAGGTCAGTTTGGAACTGCGTATTGGCTTAGAAACTGGAAAGAGAAACAAATGAACAAACAAACAAAAAAACCCAACAGGATTGTTGTATGCATTTGGGAAATGGTCTAGATGATCTGATAAGAGTGTTTAATTAAAATAGTCAAGACACTGGGGGTCTTTGAAAACAAAATAGGTGCAGGATCTCTGTCAGGGACAGCTAGTTGGCACAGTGGATAGGACATTGGTGTTAGAATGAAGAACACCTGAGTTTAAATCCAATCTTAGAAGCTTACTTGCTGTGTGACCCTGAGAAGTAATTTAAACTGTCTGCCTCAGTTTCTTTATTTGTAAAATGGCTATAATTATAGCAACTACCTCCCAGGGTTGTAGAGAGGATTAAATGAGATAGTATATGTAAAGCACTTTGTAAACCTTATATCACCATATAAATGCTAGAAGTTAACATTGTTACTATTACTATTACTATGATGGTTATTAATAAGATGTTTCAAAGACTTACTGAATCACAAAATCTCAGAGTTGGAAGATATCTCAGTGGTCATCCCGTCTTATCCAACCATAAAAATATCCGCCTTACAACACTCCCATGAAATGGTCATCCAGCTTTTCCTTGAAGCCTCACCTTCCTTACCTATGAGGGAGAACCCACTTCCTCCTCAAACAACCCATTCCGCATTTGGATAGCTCTAATTGTTAGCATCCTCCCTGTGATATCAAGCCTACATTTGCCTCTGCATCTTGCACTCGTTGCTCCTTATTTCACCCTCTGGGGTCCAATACAACAAGTCTAATATCAACTGCACATGATAGTCCCTCAAATACTTACAAGCAGATCTCATATGTTCTTCCCCATTTCCCCAAGTCTTCTCTTCTCCAGGCAGAACATCCCCAGTTCCTTTGACGGATCCTCGTGTGTCATGAAGCTGAGAACCTTCACCATTCTACTTGTCCTCTTAAGGACTGTCATATGCACAGTTAATTCTGTAATGCCCCCAGAGCAAGAACTTGTAGCAATGAGTGGATGATAGTTTAATTGGATCATAGATTTTGAGCCAGAAGGTAGCTTAGGGGCCATCAAGTCCAATGCCTTCATTTTTTAAATGAGGAAACTGAAACCTAAGGAAGTAACTTGCCCAAAGTTTCACAGGTAGTAAGTAGCAGAGCTGGAATTTCAACAAGTCTTTGATCTTCAAAGGCTTGACATAGGGGAAAACACAAAGGATCAAAACCGTTTTTATTAATTAAATCTATTCAAAGGTAGAATGTGTGGTTTCAGAAGATAATAAGTTGCCCTTTACTAGAAGTCTTCAAGTTGAATGGCTACTTTTCAGGGATGTTGTATGAGTAATTTCTGTTTTTATTTAATAAAATTGTATTGCAATTTTTTTTTTTACATCACCTACCATTCCTAATGTATCTCTACTTTCTCCTCTCAGATATCTATTTCTTATAATAAAGAATAAAGGAGAGAAAAATTAAAAAAACAACATAGTTTGGCAAAATAAAACATCAAAAATGTCTGACATTCCATGCAGTTTTCTATGACCCATAACCCTCCACCTCTGTAAAGAAGTGGAAGAGGTTCCTTCTCCTAGTTCTTCTTTGGGGCTAACTTAGTTATTGTAATTTTAAAATATCCAGTTTCTATGTTTTATTGTTGTTATTTCCATTTGTATTGCTTTAATTATTGTATATATTGTTTTCTTGGTTCTATTTACTTAACTGGGAACCATTTCATGCCTTCCCATGATTTCTTGTATTTACTATTTCCTATAAAACAGTGATGATATTCCATTACATTAATCTATCATGATTTGTTTAGCCATTCTTCAATCAGTGAGTATGTATTGGTTTCAAGTTCTTTGCAGCTCTCTCTCTCTTTCTCTCTGTGCATATATATATATACATACACACACACACACACACACACACACACACACACACACACACACACACACACACATATGCACACATATACATATATATCATATATATATATGTATATATGTATGTATATGTGTGTGTGTGTGTGTGTGTGTGTGTGTATAACCTTTCTTTTTATCATTGGTGTGTTCCTAGAAGTGGAATGTCTGGTTTAAAAGGCATGGGTATGTCTAGTCATTTATGCAAATTACTTTCCAGAATGCTTTTAGACCCATTGAAAGCATGACTAAGAATGTATTAATGTGTCTGTCTATCCATAACCCCTCTAACATTGACTATTCTTATCTTTAGTCATCGTTACCAATTTTTTGGATATAAAGTGAAACTAAGAGTTGTTTTGTTTTGAAACATTCCTTCATATGGTTGTTAATAGTTTGCTGTTCTTTTGAGAGCTGTTTGTTCACATACTTTGACCACTTATCTATTAGGGAATGACTTTTGGTCTTGTATTTCATAACTAAGTGACTCAGGATAGAGCACCAGGCCTGGAGTCAGGAAGACCTGAGTTCAAATCTAGCCTCAGACACTTATTAGCTGTGTGACCTTGGACAAGTCACTTAACCCTGTTTGCCTCAGTTTCCTCACCTGTAAAATGAATTGGAGAAGGAAATGGCAAACCACTCAGGTATCTTTGCTAAGAAAACCCCAAATGGAGTCACAAAGAGTCAGACATGACTGAAATGAGGGAACAACAATATCTTTGATATCTGATCCTTATCACAAATATTTGATAGAAATATTTTTTCTCAGTTGACTACTTCTGTTTTTGTCCTAGTTACATTATGTTCATGCAGAAACTTTTCAATTTCATACCTTCAAAGTTATCTATTTTAATATTATTCTTAATTGCCATGGAGAGATTTCAGGTACAGGTTACATCAGATGATCTTTGGAGTCTCTTTCCACTCTGAGATCCTACAATTTTGGGTTGCTGAGATTGACCTTGTCAAAACTAGCCTTCACCAATAAAGAGACATTTAGATGGTACAGTGGATAGTGTACTGGGCCTGGAAGCAGGAAGGCTTGAGTTCAAATCTGGCCTGAGACACTTCCTAGCTGTGTGACTTTGAGCAAGTCACTTAACCTGTTTTGTCTCAGTTTCCTCAACTGTAAAATGGGATAATGATAACACCTACTTGCCAGGGTTGTTGTGAGGATCAAATGAGATAATATTTGTAAAAAAAGAAAACCAAAACAAACCACTCAACACAGTACCTGGTACATAGTAGGCACTATAATAATGCTATCTGTTATTATCATTATTATTATTAATTTTCAAAACAAAGATGCTAAAGTTAGTAGTTTTAATTGCTGCTGCTCTACTGCTTCTGTTTTGTGATAGAAGGTGAAAAACATTTTCCCTCTGATCTCCAAAGCAAATCACTTGCTAAAGGTAAGATTTAATTCACTGGCAAAAACAAATTTAAAAAGGAAAATAAAATGCCTGTGGCTAATTACAGAGACTCGTGGCTAATATTCTATTTCTCTTCCACTAAGGCTTTGGAATAGCAACACATTTTAGTGTTTCCTCCAAACTCCTGTCTCTTGACTGAAGCATGTAGCAATATGCAAAGAGGTTTTTTGGCTATTCATTAAGATGTCAATCAGAGAGGCAGAGCAGTTTGCAGTATATTTAACATGTCTCTTTGGTGCAAATAAAGGCCTGGAGCCAGTCATTCTATTGAGTGTTTGGCTTTAGTAGCCATGAGGGAGATGGTCAAAAGTCATATAATCTTAGTAAAATTCAATGATTCTTTGACTCATGTCTGGAACTCCCACCTTGGTCTTCCTGCTCCCTCATATCTGGCTGGGTCCAATCATACTTTACTTTATACGTGGCCATTTCCTTGTCTGCTGCTCTACAACCACTATAGAATTTCTTTCTTCCACCTCGCCTCCCCCAACCCCCCACCCCCTCCCACTTTCCAGCTCTGGAGCCATAATCAAATCAATATTACCATTGCTGCTGGAAAGGTTGTTACTGCCTTAGGCTCCACTTATCATCCCTGTGACTTTGCAAACCAAAACATAAAGCCTTGGCTACCATTCCTTTTCCCCTTAATAGAATGAAAGTATCTTGATGTCAGGAACTGCATTGCTTTTGTATCCCCAGGCTTAGGATGAAATTGACATATAATACGTTCTTAATAAATGCACCTTCCTTCCTTCCTTCCTTCCTTCCTTCCTTCCTTCCTTCCTTCCTTCCTTCCTTCCTTCCTTCCTTCCTTCCTTCCTTCCTTCCTTCCTTCCCTTCCTTCCTTCCTTCCTTCCTTCCTTCCTTCCTTCCTTCATCAGTAACTAAACAGGAAAATGACCTTTAGAAGTTAGGTAAACAGCTAGAAGTTTTAACGGATAGAGTGCCAGGCCTGGAGTCAGGAAGACCTGGTTCAAATCTGACCTCAGACACTTATTAGCTGTGTGAGCCTGGGCAAATCACTTAACCCCGTTTGTCTCAGTTTCCTCATCTGTAAAATGAGCTGGAGAAGGAATGGCAAATCACTCTAGTATCTTTACCGAGAAAACTTCAAATGGGTTCACGAAGAGTTGGATGTGACTAAAACCACTGAAACAGCAACAACTAGATTTAAGATTTGAAGGATTGGGTAAAAGGAACTCAATTACTAACCTTGTAGATATGCTGATGACTCAGTCCCTGGAGGCTTCTTCAGGATACTTAAGATGTCCAATGAGCAATTTCCTAAAAGCAAAATCAGAAACGTGAAAATTTTATCTCTACTTTTGCGAAGAGCAGACATATTCTTGATAACCCTCCATGATCCTTGATTTAGAATAATGACAATTTCTTTTCCACTCTCAGGGGAGTGGCTTTTTCCTCTTTGACCATTAACTATTTTCCAGTGATATCCATGGTCATGAATACCTAATTATGGCTACATAAAATGAGAGATGAGGAAAAGATGTTGACAAGTTGCTTACAATGCAGTGGGAAGGGAGGCTTCTCTTCAAAGGGAAAAGACAAGGACAGCTATCGTGATCAAGTACAGTAATATCACCAAAGAAATATAAAACATTTAACATTTTATGAGGATAGGGAATTAATCCACCCTCATATCTCCTCCTCCCTTCCTCAAACCTTTTTACATCTTTAATTGTCCTTTCATCTTGTAGTCCAGCTTCTGAAGAAGAGGTAGGTGGTCCATTTCTTTGTGGAGGCTAACCTCTTTTTAAAGCATTCTCTCATGTTTCCTCTGGCAGTTCCCTTTCTATCTCTGTGTTACTGTCTCTGTCTCTCTCTCCCCCTCTTTTAATCCTTTCCTCTCCTCTCCCTCTCTCTTCTCCCCATCTTTCTCCCTCTCCCTTCCCCACCCTCCCTCTTTGTTTTATTCTCTCCCTACCTATTGGCTTCTTCCTGCCTGCCTACAGACATGCTCAGGTCTTCCTCATCCCTGGAAAACAGACAAACCCCCACTGCCTTTGACCTTGCAATCACTTTAAACAATCATCTTATGCCATTTTCCCTTTTATTGTTAAACTCCTAGAAATTATTCTTCATACTTGCTTGCCTCCATTTTCTCATCACCCAAGGGATTCAGACCTCGTCACCCTACTGAAATTGCTTTCTCAAAATGGTCTTTAAAAATCACTTTTTACTATAGAGTCACTCTGAATATGCACTGCCAAATAGAACCCACTCTTGTAACAGAGAAAAATAGGTAAGGAAAAACAACTCCCACAGCAGTCATGTCAGACAGTGTTACAACATTTGGCACCTGTATTTCTTACCTCTCTACACAGAGTATGTTTCTCAGCTGTTCTCTATGACATTTTGCTCAATTGGAGTTTAGCCATATTTGATTTATGTTTTGATTTACATCATCATACTCATTGTGTTTTTTTTCCTCTGCTTCTGTTTTATTGACTTTGTACTAGTTCATATAACACTTCACATGTTTCTCTGATTCTCTCAAATTCACAATTTCTTATAGCATCACATTATTCCATTATATTAACATACCACACTGTGTTTCATTCTTCCCCAAATGATGAGCTTCGATTTTGTTTCCTATTTTTCCAACCACTAAAGAGCCTGGGGTATGCTGAAACCAACTTGTGAGAGCTGATTGTTAAATTTTCAATGTAAATATTTTTACCTCAGCAATTGACTAAAAATCAGGGCTTGAGTTATTGTTCATTGTCTAGACTTAATAAAGTTATGGAAAAAGATGTTAATAATGTAGATCAAACTTAAAAGCATATCATAAGGCAGCTAGATGGTGCAATAGATAAAGCACCAACCATGGAGTCAGGAGGATCTGAGTTCAAATGTGGCGTCAGACACTCTTGCAAGCTGTGTGACCCTGGGCAAGTCCCTTGACTCCAATTACCTCTCCAAAAAAATGTATAATGTATATATTTCCCCTCCAGAAAGTCAGTTCTCAAATATGTAACAGCACCACTCCTGAGTGATGCTCTGGATATTCTGATATGTAAATGATAGATCTGTCTTTGAGGTCCTTGTGTTATGTGCCCAGTTCTCAGATTACTGGATCAAAGAGTCAGAAAAATATAGTAATGTTTCTCAAATAAAACTGAAATGACTTCTAGAACAGGACCCAAATTATAGCGCCACTAACAATATATCAGTGTGCCTATTTTCCAGCAACATTCTAACATCATTTCCATATTTTAAAATCTTTGTCACTTTAACACATGAAAGTGTGAACTCATAGAATTATTTTAATTTATATTTCTCTTACTATTAGTAATGAGTAATCATTATTAGTAATTAAGAACATTTTAATATCATTTATCATTCACAGTTCTTCCTTTGAAAATTGTGTTATTACTTACTTTGACCTCTTATCTATTGGGGAATGGCTCTTTGTCTTATATTATTGTGTAAATAAAAATATCTTAGATATAAGATAGAAATAATTTGAAGTATATATGTTATTAACTCTACCCTGTGAATATTTTAGTCAAACTCATTGATGTGCAACTTTGATTATTTGAAATTTTTGGTGGTATCTATCAGTAACTACTTTTCTTTTATGCTTCTCGGTATGTTAATTCCAGTTACAGAATTGGCATTATTGTCTTCCTGCTATTTTGCAAAGGAAGGCTTATCTTTCCTATCAGTGCAAAATAGGACTGTAGGGCTTTGTATTCTCGGTTTTACTGGGTGCAAGAGTAAATATTTAAGATCATTCTGTTCCTTCGAAGTCATTTAAGGTTCCCAGATAATATAGAATAGTATTAGCAGCATCTTGGTGGGGGTAGAGATAAGGGTATACTGTCAGCAGAGGAGGGAGGACAATTATTTCTATAACACATACCAAAATAAAGTTTAATTAGGATCAGCCACCCTTGGAATTGTGCTTAAGCTCATTGGAGTTAGTTAATTCAGTATTTCTCAAAAAATGCCATCTTGCAATTAAAGTGCTGATGACCAAAAGCTGCAATATCTGGGCATCTCCAACTTCTAGCTATTAGCAGCATTTACTTAAATTGCTAATTTCTCTCTCTCTCTCTCTCTCTCTCTCTCTCTCTCTCTCTCTCTCTCTCTCTCTCTCTCTCTCTCTCTCTCTCTCTCTCCGTGTCTTTCTTCTAATTTCACCTCTTTCTCTTCATCCAGATAAGACTGTCATTCCAAATCTGCCTCCATCATTTTTCTCCATCAGCCTCTCAACTTAAATAATACTCTTTTGTGGCACTCTTTTCTGAGAAATATTCATTTACTCAGTCCTCTTCCTTATTTCTATCCTTATTTGGTTATTCTGAATTTTTTTCTTCATTAATGGCCATACATTTACATTTTATTCTTGACATGTTCCTTATAAAAGGTATAGCTTCTGAAAAACACAAGTTGAATTTGCTCCTTTCCTGAATTCCTGCATTTTGAAATGTTACCTTTATTTTCTCTTCCCTTTACTTTTTTCTTTCACTATTTATTATTTTTTATGGAGTCTTCTTTTGTGTTTCACTCCTTGAAATATTAAGTCAAGAAAGAGGTAATATTGTATTGGAGAAGTCAGTCTGGACTCTGAGTCAGGAGGTCTGACCCTATCCCCTACCTTTATCATGAGCACTCACCTCTTCATTGTTCACCTTCTTCCACCATGTTCTCTCTGTCATCCCTAGAGGACAGTATATGTATATTTTCTCTCCTGAGGTGAGTTGCCATATTGGGAAGTACAATCTTTGTTCAGAGTGAGTTGTCCTGTATGGACTCCCAATGTACCCGTTTACCCCAATGCAACCTATTATGAGTCACTTGTGTCTCTTCTACCTCCTCCCACCATGGAAACATATTTCAATGACACCATTTCCTTTCCCCTTCTAGGATATGATCAGTCTTCATTTCCTGCCTCCAATACCTTCTTCTCCATTATTCTTACCTGACTCTCTAAAAATCTTTCATATAATTTGAGAGTCTGAGGAATTATTATCCATTTTTCACACATACATCTGACAGATGGAATTTCATTCTTAGGACTCCTCCCTCTCCCCATCTTTTGCCTTTTCTTTTTTGCATTTGAGTAGTTTATCATTATGTTATCCCACTACCCCACGTTGAAATGATTGATTTACTTGTAGGAGACCATGGTTTATTGTTCACAAACTACTAAATCAAATCAATTCTTCTACCTTCCTTTCTCCTGACTCTTTCAGTTCCTTTAAATCTTTATATTATTATTATATTATTATTACCCCTTTATATTATTATTTTATTCTTTAATAATAATTTTTCTTTACTTTTTCTTTCACCCCTCAATTAGATTAAAAAAATAGTAGCCTTGTCTTGACCTGGAAAATTAGATCATTGATTTCTTTGCTTAGTCTTTTTTTTGGTAATCATACTTACTGCCTTTAGAGTGTTTCTTTTCTTTGTAGTATTTGAAAATTAAATACTTTAGTCCTCATTTTTTGAAATAAAGAAATAACTCCCATGGCCCTCTTCTTTTGAAGATTCATACTCAGATCTTTTCACTGATAGGTTCAGCATTAAAAGATGTTATTTTGGGGGTGGATCCTGAGATATTTTACTTTTTCATATACTTACTCTCTATCTTTTATTATTGATTTGAAATAATCCTGATCTATTACTACTGACTTTCCTTAAGAATTAAAGTCCTTTTCCCTGGTCACTTGCAAAATTTGTCATTAGTGCTGAAAATATAAAACTTAGCAACAACATTCCTTGGAATTTTAAACTTGGAGTTTTCCTCTGTTAACAACCTGCCAGTTAGGGGCAGCTAAGTGGCACAGTGGATAGAGCACCGGCCCTGAAGTCAGGAGGACCTGAGTTCAAATCTGGCCTCAGACAAAACACTTGACACTTACTAGCTGTGTGACCCTGGGCAAGTCACTTAACCCCAATTGCCTAGAAAAACCCAAAACAAACAAACAAAAAACAACCTACCAGTTCTATCAATTAGTACTTTGATCTCTGTTTTCAAAACTTCTGAGCAATTTTCTTGAATTATTTCCTGAATATGGTATGCAGGCTTTTAAATTTATTATTCTTATTACTTTTTGGAGCCACAGTTTAGCAAGAACATTGATAAGCCCAACAGTATCTGGAGGGAAGGCACTCAAGTCTGGTGAAGAGCCTTGAGTTCATGCCATATGAAAACTGGTTGAAACGCTATATCTTAGAGAAGAGAAGATTTAGGTAGGGGCAGGATATAATAGCTAACTTAAAACATTTGAAATCTCAAGTGAAATTAGACATTA